ACAAGAGTGTCCCACAAGAGTGTCCCACAAGAGTGTCCCACAAGAGTGTCCCACAAGAGTGTCCTGCAAGAGTGTCCCACAAGAGTGTCCCACAAGAGTGTCTCAAATGAGTGTCCCACATGTCCCACAAGAGTGTCCCGCAACAGTGTCCCGGAAGAGTGTCTCACAAGAGTGTCCCTTAAGAGTGCCCCACAAGAGTGTCCCGCAACAGTGTCCCACGAGAGTGTCCCACCAGAGTTTCCTACAAGAGTGTCCCACAAGAGTGCCCTCAAGAGTGTCCCACAAGAGTGTCCTACAAGAGGTCCCACAAGAGTGTCCTACAAGAGTGTCCCACAAGAGTGTCCCACAAGAGTGTCCTGCAAGAGTGTCCCACAAGAGTGTCCCACAAGAGTGTCCCAAATGAGTGTCCCACATGTCCCACAAGAGTGTCCCGCAACAGTGTCCCGCAAGAGTGTCTCACAGGAGTGTCCCTTAAGAGTGTCCCGCAAGAGTGTCCCACAAGACTGTCTCACAAGAGTGTCCCGTAAGAGTGTCCCACAAGAGTTTCCTACAAGAGTGACCCACAAGAGTGTCCTACAAGAGTGTCACTTGGACATATGTAGCTTTTGGAACGCGTTTGCATTCGGGTTCGTGGGCTCCATTGTTTTTTTTCGTGTTTTTCTGGGATCTTTTTTCACGTGTTATTTTGGGAGTGCTTTACAAGCATCAGGAGCAGCAGAAAGGTCAGGGGACGAAGCAGCAAAGCCAGCGGGAGGGAGAGAGCGAGACAGTGACAAAGGGAGGGAGCAGAAAAGGCATCCCACTTAACGAAGGAGAAGTAGGAGTGAGGAAAGAGGAGTGAGGAACTATAATAATAGAGACTACTATAATAATAGGGACTTCTTTGCGGTTGTCTTTGGGTTTCAGTGGTTCCAGGTTTCTTTGGGTTCGGTTTCGTGTCTTTAGGGTTTCTTTGGGCACCTCTGTTAAAAGTTCTTCGGCTGTTAATGTATCATATGTGTTTGTCAAATCATTTGACGCTACGAAAACATGCATGTTTTGTATATGATAACTATTACCTCGGGTGGTTCAGAAAAGGTATGCGCCGTTGGGCTGCTAAATTTTACCCTCGCGTGGCTCACAAAAAGGTATGCGGCGTTGGAATAGCACTCCTCCTCTAGATTTTACCCTGGGGCGCCTCACAAAAGGTATGCGCCGTTGGAATGGCACCTTCCTCTACACTGGGTGCGATATCAAAAAAGAACAGTAGCAAAAAAACATCACGAGGGATCACAAAGAAAAATTATCAAACGCATTCACAGCGAATAAAAAGAGAATGCGGAAAGGACAGTAGTAGTAGCAGCAGCAGTAGTAGCAGTGGTAGGGTACGGTAGGGGTAGGGCGCAGCGCTTCCTACTAGGCGAAGGTTTCTGGCTGTCACGCTAGGCCCTAGGCGATGGTGGGCCTTATCATCCACCTTTGTGGCAGCGTCAACGCAAAGAAGATAGTAGCGCCTCCCCCGCAATGTCAATACATCAAGTATAGACAGCGCTGGGCTGCTTCGTTTCTGGATTGGTCCAATTGGGTGTCACAGCTCAAGGTGAAGGTCTTATCACCCAACTTTGTTGGGTTGTCAGAGCTGAGCCTGCACTTTCATTCACCTTTGCGGCGCTGGCACAGGTGGGCCTTACCATCCTCCTTATCATCCTCACAGCTAAGTGCAGGCGGGCCTTACTTATCATCCACCTTTGTGGCAGTGTCAATGCAAAGAAGATAGCGGTAAGACTCGTAGTGCGGTGGTCGGGGTGATAGAGGCACTGGTAGTAGTGCGGGTAGTGGCAACTATTTAAAAAGCGGGAGGGGGCGCGCCTGCTCCCACCAGCGAGCTAGCGCCCCACTGGGAAGCTCTCTCTACTAGGGAGCTATCAAGACTGAAGGACCATAAGACCAGCCCAGCGGACTACGAGACCAAGGGACTAGGTCTAGGTGCCCACTGGACCAAGAGACCGAAGGAGCAGGGGACCAGCGGAGTAGGAGAGCAAGAGACCAGCGGACCAGGAGACCGAAGGACCAGGGAACAGCGGACCAAAGGGCCAGCGGACCAAAGGACCAGGGGACCTGAGGACCAGGGGACCTAGTCAGGATTGATTTGATACCGTTCTTTTTAATTGATCCTGCTCTTTTTGTTTGATCCTGTTCTATTTTTGATCCTGATGGCCTAACTGTTACCCTCGAGTAGCTCACAAAAGGTCACAAAAGGAATGCACCGGCGCAGGCTCTTTACTGCAAGCAGCGCAGTAAATAAAGCTGGCCACTTGCAGCAGCACTTGCAGTGCTTCAAGCTGCCTATTTGCACTTGCAAAAGCAGAAGCAAAAAGCAAAAGCAGAAGCAAAAGCAAAAAGCAAAAGCAAAAGCAGGAGCAAAAGCAGAAGCAAGAAGCTAAAGCAACAAGAAAAAACAAAAGCAGAAGCAAAAGCAAAAAGCCAAAGCAACTCACCAGGACCATGGGACCTCCATACTCTCAAGTTGACTGTTCTAACAACCACACCAGCTTGCCCTTGAAGTCTCATCTGCGCGCTTTGCTGGGTGAGAGATCAAAAAATGTTTAACGCATAAAACAATATTCCACACGCTCAAAAAATATTTAATGAAGCAAAAAATATTCCAAATAACAGTAGCAGTAAGAGTAGCAACCGGACTATAGCAGCAGTATCGTAGGCATTTCGTGGCAGGTGCAGGACTTTGTGGATGTTGAAGTGCAGAGTTGGTGGCCGGTGGTAGGCGCAGGACTTTATGGGCCTTGGAGTGCAGATTTCGTGGCAGGCGCAGGACTTTGTGGACCTTGAAGCGCAGATTTCGTGGCAGGTGCAGGACTTTGTGGGCCTCGGAGTGCAGATTTCGTGGCAGGCGCAGGACTTTGTGGCCTTGGAGCGCAGATTTCGTGGCAGGTGCAGGACTTTGTGGCCTTGGAGTGCAGATTTCGTGGCAGGCGCAGGAATTTTTGATGGAAGTGTAGAGTTGGTGGCAGGTGCAGGACTTTGTGGGCCTTGGAGTGCGCAGGCGCAGATTGATAGGTATAGATAGAGAGATAGAGGAGGCATAATTGCTTGGTTAGAAAAATTTGGCACCGGGGAGTTCACCTTAAAATATTGATTTCGTGGCAGGTGTGGGTGTCGGGGATGAAGTGTAGATTTCGTGGCGCGGGGGAGGGTTGGGGCTGCGCCCCCCCCAGCAGCACACGAGATCCAAAGGTGAGCAGCTCGTGCTTGCTTGCTTGCTTGTCGTAGTGTTTCGTGGCAGGTGCAGTACTTTGTGGACCTTGCACATTTCGTGGCAGGTGCAGGACTTTGTGGGCCTTGGAGTGCAGATTTCGTGGCAGGTGCAGGACTTTATGGGCCTTGGAGCGCAGATTTCGTCGCAGGCGCAGGACTTTTTTGTGGACCTTGAAGTGCAGATTTCGTGGCAGGTGCAGGACTTTGTGGGCCTTGGAGTGCAGATGTCGTGGCAGGCGCAGGACTTTGTGGACCCTGAAGTGCAGATTTCGTGGCAGGTGGAGGACTTTGTGGCCTTGGAGTGCAGATTTCGTGGCAGGCGCAGGAGTTTTTGATGTGGAAGTGTAGAGTTGGTGGCAGGTGCAGGACTTTGTGGGCCTTGGAGTGCAGATTTGGTGGCAGGACCAGCGGACCAGCGGACCAGAGGACCAGAGGACCAGGGGACCAGCGGACCAGAGGACCAGGGGACCAGCGGACCAAAGGACCAGCGGACCAGGGGACCAGCGGACCAGATGACCGGCCACCCACACGACTGGGAATTCCAAGGGATTTCATCGCAAAACGAATATTTTTTTTGATTCAGTATTTTTTTTGATTCGGTATTTTTTTTGATTCGATAAATATACTTTTTTGTGATACCTATGCCCGCTTTGCTCGCGTCTTCAGACTGAAGCTCTGACGCGTCTTGCAGCTGTGTCACTATTCTACCTGCTTTAGAACTTCAACGAGTACCCATAAAGGTCATGGGCTGGTGGCTTGAAGGTTGGCCGGCTGGCTGCCTGCTGGCTGGCTGCAGCTTACAACGGCCGGCCGGCCGTTTGAGATAGCAGGTAGGCTACAATGGACTATAATTTATCACTTGAGTGGATTTCCTATTAAATGCAAAACTGAGCAAACAGCATCTAAACTATAAAATGGGGTGAGTGGATTCTGAGCATTCAACACTAAAAAAAACAAAAAAGCAGGCCTATAACATGTCCATGATGGGTTCACCATAGAACATACATTTAAAAAATCACTGTCTATAAAATGCCAAGTGTGGGTGCAAACGCAAAAAGATGGTGAACAAACAGGCACAAATCAGAAACTATCAAATGCCTCGCAACATCGCAGAACTTTGTCAAACACGCCTTGTAATCGGATAATGTGGTTATATAGCTGGAATTAACCTGCTGGCCTGTTCTTGCAATGTTGGTAGTATATTAGTATAAATACACCTGGTGGGTGCCTGCTGGCGTTAGGGCCCTTGCATCTGCCCTCCCCCATTTTATAGACAAGCAGGCATTGTAATTAGATGCAACTAGCTGGAATGCACCTGCTGGGTTGGGTTGGTTGGCTACATGGAGACTTTTGGGCAAATCTTCAAACAAGAATCATTTAGAGACCAATGGGGTCTATCAAATTATATACACAAAAACACATCCTGCTATAAAGTGCCCCCTTGACCCTAATAGCCTCAAAATCACTCAAGTTTCTGAAATGCAAAAATGGACCTCATACCTGCAAAACCTTCAAACAACCACCAAGATTCAGTGTGTGCACCGCACGGGTGCCCTATAAAATGAGGATCAAATTTGGCATAATATAGCACAAAAAGGAGCGGCATTTTATATACCGGTGGGGGATTGAGTAACCAAAGCAAAAACAGCAACGCGGTCAAGCATGCTTGACATTCTCACAGCACATCTGAGACATGCACGACACCCCTATACGGAGAAGGCCAATGGATTCTTCTCTGGAGAGCCTGGTGCAGAGATGCCTTGCTACGACCCACCCGCTCCCTGTCCAAACATGCCGTTGCACCCCTCATCAGTCATCAACTCTATCGCTGTGGAGGCCAAAACCGACCTGACTCTGCCAAGGCTGATGGTTGATCAAAAGCCAGTGCGGACTGGTCGCTCTCAACCAATTGTTTGAGCTGAAACACCATGTTTGAATCGAACATCTATACAAAGGGGGCGGTTGCAACAGTAGGTAATTACTAATTACTGTATAACTTCAGGGTGCGCCTCAGCTGATCAGTCTTTCCCGATGCTTCTGCCGAGCCTGATCCTCAAATAACTTTAGGACTCAAGCATGCTGGAAAGGGAAGTATACATTCAAAGCCTTGGTTTCCGGCCGCGAAGACCCTCATTCAGGACACTCTCCAATTGCTGCCTGAGAGCGGAATGTCCAGTTCGACAGGTTAAGTATGCTGAACACCTTGAGCTGGAAAAAAATGAACTGCAAAGCTTGGCCACGAGTCACTACAACTCCATTCTGCCATTCTGCAAACATGTGCAAAATAACATTGGCGGAGGTGATCAAGTTGTGTGCGGCTCGGCTTTGGTTGATCCACGTTGATCTCGAGAACTTTTACGATCTTTTACGTATGCATTGAGTGAAGAATTGCTGTTTGATACTACTGTAGCGGTGCCAACATCAACACGTTTCTTTGTCGGTAGCTTTCTGAACGCTTGTTCACTGCACTGCCTTCGAAACAGCGCCAACCTTGTACCCTGACTGTTCAAAGTATTCAAATTCTAGGTGCACTGTTTCTGATGCTGGAGGCTAAGCCCTCAGCGCTAGGCCACGCAAGTGTCTTCCAAGGCACACAGCCTCTGCAATGACCTTGACACGACGTGGTGTGCTGACTCGATCTGATGCAAATCTGCAAATCTCAAAAATTGACAAAATTCCACGCACTCAATTCAGGACCAAACCGAGTCATCGATTTTCGCACATGATGGAGATTGCGCAGCAGCAAGCACCTGAACACAGAATAGCACATAAATCCTTTTGCTTGGTCTGCCACGAATCATCTGAAACTGAAACAACATGCCCTTGAGCCATACTAATACCATCTAATAATCTAATACCGCCAAGTCGGAATTCCAAAAGCAGCCTTCAAACTGTACCCACGAGGGTGGCAGGGTGGAAGGAAGCGAACATGGTCGCCAGTCGTCATCGTGAATGTAGCCATCTTTGCCAGCTTGTTCAACACTCTTCCCACAACTTCCCACGTTGCAAACAGTGAAGTGCTGTTTGGGAACAGCGAAGGCAAGAGAAACACACCTTGGAATGGGAGGTGGCCGCACACCCGCACTAGCACGCAAAACAACAACAACAACAACAACAACAACAACAACAACAACAACAAATGTTCTGAGGTACCAGGTAGCGCGTGTGCTGAGTGGACAGTTTTGCCACATGTGCAACTGCAATTGCTGAGTGGTCACCCCGCTTCTCAAGTTTGCATTCGCTCAGCGATTGTTCGAAGCAGTTTCTTGTACAATTGGTGTTTGTTTGCATTGCTGCAAGTGCCGTGCAAGACATGTGTTGTCTGTAGGCCATAGTCTAGAGGGCATGTTTTGCAGCATGTGTTTTGTGAGAAGCTGTGGACTGGGTTTTGAATCAGGATTTGGTTTCTGGACAAAACTTATCAAAACTTCAGCATTGGCAAGCTGTCTTTGCTGTGTCACAATGTTCAGAGCAATTGGAGCAAGCATAAGGTTTCCTGATAAACTAAACTGCTTGCACCACGAGTAGGCATGCAAACAACTTAAGACTTACGAAAGCGAAGTCTTTATTCATCAAAAGCATGCTCACAAAGTGAGTCGCTGGCGCTGTACGCATTGTCTCTCACCGACGCCTTGGTGGTTTCATGCGATGTCATTATGATTGCAAGTGACATGGGAACTGAGGCAGCTCCAGGTTTTGCTTAGGACCATGACAGCATCAGCCGGCAGCTCCTGACAGGCAACCTCAGGGAACCCACTGAAAGAATCTGAAACACACCACCGGATATTTGAGGCCATGATAAATTGCACAACACCTGCCTTCAGTAGTTTTCCAATGGTGTCGTTCTCTCGAGACAGAGGTGCTGATTCCTGTGGGATGACAGTAACTAAGTTAACCTAGGATCATCGTTAAAAACGATGGGGGCGACACAAGCGCACAAGTAAATCCAGCTACCTACTTACAAGTTTCTTGACCCGTGAATATGAACGGATACCAAATCTTGCTAAATCATGGGTGGTGCCTTATTTCAATGATTTCGTGTGGGGATATCTCAGAATAGTATAGAATAGTTAGTAAGTGTGCCCCTAGTTCGTTTAACACAATTGAAGTTGGTTTTTGAGAGACCATTGTTGATGTTTGATGTCTTTGTCTTTTCTTCTCTGATGTTCCCAGGTTCTGACTTTCATGTCGCCTGCAAGGGCAAAAGGAACGCACGATTAGGATCACTTTGGAAGACAAACTCCAAGTTGCCGTGTCTTTCAATGATTTTTGAGGGATTTCATTGGGACACTCTCTGGGAGGAGTTCTTCCAGGTTGCACCATTGTGGCGGCTGTCCCAGTTTTCAGAAGCAGGTATATACAGCCCACTGGCAGGAAAAGACATTGACCAATAGTGGTGAGCCTCGTCAGAGATTTTTGGATAGCCAAAGGTTATATAATTGCATGCATTAGATTTCCATGTCCGCTCGTTGTCTTTCTTCGATCACAAAAACATCCAAGCGCTAGTCAGCCACGATATGGCCACCATAGAGAAAGTGGGACAGGGGTGTCACTCTTAAACGTCAGATTTTGTGAGCAAGGAAATCGGAAGGTTGCATATTTGATGGGGGCAGGGCGCAACGCCTCGCCCGGGTACAAACAAACAAACCATCGCAAGAAACCAGTGGAAACCGGGCAGCAGTAGCCAACAAAAACTAAGAGAAGCTACCAAAAGGCAACTGCCCACAGAGGTTGTTTACATTACTTACTTTTGAAACCACAAAAGGTGTGCCAAATTGGAATGGCTCCTTCCTGTTTTATTTTTTATCCTCGGGGTGGTCTACACAACGCGTGCCCCAAGAGCAATGGACACTTGTTTTCCTGCTCTGAATTTTTGCCCTCTGGCCCACACAAGGTATGCTCCAAGTTGGAACAGTTCCCTCCTGCTTTAGGCTTTACCATCATGGGCCAACAAACGGCATGCCAAGTTAGAATGGTTCCTTCCTGCTCTCAGTTTTGCCCTCGGGTTGGCCCACAAAAAGTATGCTACCCTCCAAGTTCTACCTGCTCCTCAAAATCCACAAACAAAAACTGAGTATCACAAGGAAAAAACCTGACAAGAACAACAGGAAAACACAACCCACAGCCACACTACCAAACAACACGAAAACATTTGTAACACAAGAAAACACACCCTATTTATAAGCCCACGTACAACAAAAACAACCTGAAAAATCCGGCGACCACCAGATTTAAACAATTGGAAAAACAAAAAACATACATCAAGAACCAGAGAAAGACATGAAACACCACAACACAAGCTACCAAGAGAGAAAAACAAACAAGCAAGACATGAACATCACAAGGAAAACACACGCTAAAATACCCCGGCAAGACACCCCAAACAGTGTGTGTGTGAGGTCTAGAGGTGTAGTAGCATTGGGGTCGAGAGAGGTGGTGGTGGTGGTGATGAAGGTGGAGATCGTGGTGATGGGTGGCGGTGGTGGTGATAGTGAGTGTGAGTGAGTGAGTGAGTGGGTGGGTGAGTGAGTGAGCGAGTGAGCGAGTGAGAGAGTGAGAGTGTGAGAGTGTGAGAGTGTGAGAGTGTGAGAGGGTGAGAGGGTGAGAGCGTGAGAGCGTGAGAGTGTGAGAGTGTGAGAGTGTGAGAGAGTGAGTGAGTGAGTAAATAAGTGAGTGAGTGAGTAAGTGAGTGAGTGAGTGGAGGGAGTGAGTGAGTGAGTGAGTGAGTGAGCGAGTGAGTGAGTGAGAGTGAGAGAGAGAGAGAGAGTGAGGGTGAGGGTGCGAGTGCGAGCGCGGGCGCGCGGGAGCGAGTGCGAGCGCGAGCGCGAGTGCGTGAGAGTGAGAGAGGAGTGAGAGTGAGCGCGAGTAAGAGTGAGAGAGTGTGAGTGAGAGAGTGAGAGGAGTGAGAGAGTGAGAGAGAGTGAGTGAGAGTGTGAGTGTGAGTGAGAGTGAGTGAGAGAGTGAGAGGGTGAGAATGAGAGCGCGCGTGAGAGTGAGAGTGAGAGTGAGTAAGAGTGAGAGTGGGAGTGAGAGTGAGAGTAAGTGTGAGAGAGAGAGAGTGAGCGTAAGTGAGTGAGAGTGAGTGTCAATGATGTGAGTGTGAGAGAGTGCGCCACGAAATCTTCACTTCGAGGTTCACAAAGCGGTGCGCCTGCAAAGAAATCTGCACTCTGAGGTTCACAAAGCGCTGCGCTTGCAAAGAAAATCTGCACTTCGAGGTTCACAAAGCGCTGTGCCTGCCACGAAATCTGCACTTCAAGGTTCGCAAAGTGCTGTGCCTGCCACGAAATCTGCATATTGAGGTTCCCCATGTGCTGCGCCTGCCATGAAATCGGCGCTACTGCTTGCTCAGCTGGAATCCTCTCATCAAAAGCTCGTCCCCTTGCTGCTAAGTCTCTGGCCAACAGCAATTCCAGCTTTTCCTGGTGGTCAATGAGTCTTCCGTAGCATTTTGCCTTGCCACCGCTTTGACCAATTTTGTAAAACGAGCAAGCTGCCCTGAGATTGCGTAGTGGGCTCTCTGACGGTGATCGAACCTGGTAGGGCTACACCTACCTCATGGTGAAGTCTTTGATCTTCGAGACTCACTCCACCATCTTCTTCTAGAGCTACTGGAATGTCAGCTCCATCAAATTCTTCAAAGTCCACATCAGTATTGGCTTGTGGGATAGCCAAATCATCAAACACCTCTGGTCCCGGCCTTGGAAGCCGGTGTTCCTCCTCCAATTCAAACCCAAATTGCTCTAGCACAACTCCATCCTCGGCCACAAAGGTCAGCACCTTGCCTTCTCGCCCTTGCAGCTCCTCAATCTCATCTTCATGGTCCAGAAGTCGCATCAGCGGTTCGGCCATCTCAACCATTTCCCACTGACTGCCTCCACCTCTTCTCACCAGCGTCGACCTGCGCATACTCTCATTCTGATGCCTGAGCTCGGGAATGAACTGAGGACTCTGGTATCGGTGACTGTGGTGAACTCCCAGCCAAAACCCCTCCATCTTCTTCCAGCCAAATCCCTCTTCAGCTGTCTTCTTGAGCTCGTCACTCAACTTCACCGCCAACATTCGAACTTGGCCTGGCTCAAGGATATTCGCGCCGACCCTTGGACAACCAAACTCTGGTTCTGGTAGTTCAGCGGCACTTCCACATCTCCATTCTTCAGGCATTCGTCCATGCCGTCAATGGACCACCCGGCTCTCATCAGCCGGCCAAATGAAAGTATTGGCTGCTTCACCACATCACAGAAAGTGACCCTTTCTTTCAGAATCACCTTTCTTCCATCTCGACTTGTCAGGACTATGTCAACGTCCTTGTGACCATAGGTTTTGATCTGTGAGCCCTGCGCATCTTGCAAATAAAGCGATGCGCCGGCCCCTTGAACTCCTCTGCCCATCAAATGCCCAGGAAACAAAGAAGCGTCTGCTCCTGAGTCGACAATGATGGGAAACTCACGACCATCCCACTCCTCATCCATTGAAGCACTTTGAAGTGTCTCTCCTTCTCGAGCGGTGTTGATCACCATCGTCTCCTCGTCGTTCTCCTCATCGGTGTCCATGTGGAAAAATTCCACTTCTGAGGCTGCATCTGCAACTCCCGACAGCATCTCAACCATTCGAACTGAGCCACTGCCCTCGTCACCATCATCACGAAGGTCAAAGATCAGCGGCTGTGACACTCTTCGAACCGCTTTTAGCGCAGTCATTGGGAGTCTCCACCACTCGTCATAGTCGTTGCCGTGGTAGAAGGCGATGTAGTATTTCCTGAACTTGTAACGCTGGCTGTGGGAGGTGATTCAACTTGGCGTACACGCCAACAATCTCTCGAATGGTGTCCCAACTTTCCACAGCTCCAGCACACATCTCCTCCGACTCCTTTGCCTTTGCCTTGCTTTCCATCTTTGCTTTTGCCCTTGCCATCTTCGGCATTTCCTTTCGTTGGCTGCATCTTGGATTTTCCTTTGCCTTTGTCCTCTTTCGACTTGCTTTTGCCCTTTGTGTCCTTTCCTTTGCCTTTTCCCTTCTTGCCATCGCTCTTCTGAAGACGGTCCATCCTCCAGTGTCAACTGCCTGCGTCATTGGGCTCGTAGTCGTGAATGAAATTGCAGCTGACTCGTTCCACTTTGCTGTGGCTGTATCGAAGGCAAGAATTGCTTCCCTGATCTTCTGATACGAACTGCCTTCGTTGAGGGTCAAATTCAAACGTACTTTCATCTGGCCACCAACAGCTCTCAGAAGTACGGCTGCTTTCATATCGGTTGGCAACTTGCTACCACTCAAACGTTCATATTGTATGAAGTGCTCTTCCATCTTCAAAATCTGAGGCAACAACGATGCCTTCATGTTGAACTGTGGGTAGGCCATGATCGTTTGCAGCAAGCTCATAGTCCGATTTCTTGCCTGAGGTTGGCAATTCGTAAGCAGCTGTCTCAAAGCTTTGTAGCCATTGAAATTCTCTACATTCTTTACCACTCCAACGAGGCGTCCCTGTATGAGGCTCCCCAACAAGCTGTATAGAAAGCGGCTTCTGTCCTGTTCAGCCTTGCCCATGAGATCCCAGTCAACTTCTGTAGACAGGTTGGACTTAATGTGCGCAATTTCCTTTTGAAACTCTCGACCAACAACAACCAATAATATTGCCGAAGCGTCCAACACCAGTCCTTCCATTGTACAACTTCCTGCTCTCGATCTGCTGGCGCAAAATTGTTCGGGCGAGGAATAAGTCGCGCTCTGTCTTTCGAAAGGATTCCTGTTGCACCTTCTGAGGAACTGGCTCCTGTCGATGAAGCAGCTTGGGCAGCCTGAGCGGCTTGGGCAGCTGATTGAGCAGCATTGATGAGGGCCTGTGTCAACTCCGGTACTCCACCGCCGGCCGTAGCAAGAGGATCTCCTCCTGATCCATCCATGGTTTCCTAACCAAATACTCTTTCCCTTCTTCACTTCAAGGGCGTGCTCCGTGTCCGGGTGGTAGGACCTCCTCGTGTTCCTCAGGGGCCTAAACAATCTCAAGGATGTGTCCTCACTCGGCGGCCAAGTAGCCACTGGCACTGAGGGCGAGCAAATCGCTACAGTAGTTCTATGGTCGCTCAGCGTGGGCGAAAGCGGCGGACGAAAGGGCTGGCCGGTCCGCCGGAGCTCACCTCCAGACTTAAAGGATGGAGGATCCCTGCTCCGCTACCATGCGGACATTTTAACTTGAAAGTCAAGGCCTGCGTAAAGTACACTTCTTGATTTGTGTGTGTCATCACACCTGTACTCTCCGATGCAATTTCTCATTTACAATTCCTTTAGGTTTCCTTTTGGTTGAAAAGCTTTAGCTTTATTGAGGGCTATGTATTTTTAGGTTCAGCCCCTTGACAATTCCTTCAGCGCTACTTACATTGATTGCTTTCATTTCCTTTCCTTTCGTTGTCCTTTCAATTTCTTTTCTTGTCCTTTCATTTTCCCTTTCATGTCCTTTTCTTTCCTTTAATTTCCTTTTCTCTCATGTCCAACTCAAATCAAGATTTTCTAGAAATTTTATGGGTTCTCTATTTTTTAAGGCCCGCACTTGATCAAGGGGGGAGCGGGGGGTTTATTAATAGGAGGTGGACATTACTGCGCATGCCACGAAATCTGCACTTCGAAGCAAAACCGCTCCGATCCCTTGCACCTGCCACGAAAAGTGACCTGCATCGAAATGGGATGCAATTCTTCTGCCCTTCCCCTTTTTTAGGGGCTGGCTTTTGACCGCCGCGTGCGAAAATGCACGCGGCGCCACAACGAGAGCGCAGTCGGGAGAGGCATGAATGTACTGTAAATAGCAGCAAATTAGCCGCGCACGCCCGCGCACACAGCAATCTAGCACAGGTGCTTAACACCTACCGTGAGAACCCCTAAGTGTGTCCACACTGTTTGGGGAACTTTCTTACTACTTTGCTTCGAGTGATCCCCACCATGGCAGTATACTCTGCAGATAGCCGACGGCTATATTGCTTCAACATCGCCAAGAAAATATCTATCTCATCTTGCATATACTGGCATTTTTTCGGGCAGTCTACCTGGCACACTTTCTGTGTAACTTTCTGACATTCTTTCTGGCAATCACTCTCACAACTCTTTCTGGCACTCTATC